AGCATGAAGGGCGGGGGAGGAGATGCTCACAGCCAGGGCCCTACAGATTCGCCTACCCAGGAGCGGGAGGAGCTGTTTATCCAGAAGCTGCGCCAGTGCTGTGTTCTCTTCGACTTTGTGTCGGACCCACTCAGTGACCTCAAATTCAAGGAGGTGAAACGGGCAGGACTGAATGAGATGGTGGAGTACATCACTCACAGTCGTGACGTCGTCACCGAGGCCATCTACCCAGAGGCCGTCACCATGGTGGGCACTGGGATGACATGGGCAGGGTGGGGTCCTGGAGCAGCCCCGGCACACTGACCTGGCCACACCTCAGTTTTCAGTGAACCTCTTCCGGACGTTGCCACCTTCATCAAATCCCACAGGGGCCGAGTTTGACCCAGAGGAGGATGAGCCCACGCTGGAAGCTGCCTGGCCACACCTCCAGGTGCTAGGACAGGGACTGGGCACTCAGACTGGCACAGGGGGACCCCGGGGTCCTTGTGGAACAGCTCAGTGCATGCTCCTTTTCCTCCACAGCTCGTGTATGAGTTTTTCTTACGTTTCCTCGAGTCTCCTGATTTCCAGCCAAACATAGCCAAGAAGTACATTGACCAGAAGTTTGTCCTTGCTGTGAGTCTTCAAGATGCCCCTTTCTCATGTGCCCCTCATCTGAGTCCAGGCTGCTCTTTCTTTTCTTTTCAACACATCATGTCTGGTATCAGGACATCATGGGTGGGCACTAAAGCCCGGGGCCCTCAGGAAGCTTCCATCGTAATGTAGAGTAAACACATAAACACACCTGCCCAGATACTACTTTAGGGAGCACATCACATCAAAATAGAATTGGCGAGGAATTTTCTAGAGGAATCTGTGCCCTGAGACCTCAAGGCCCCAGCTAGGTGCTGAGGCATCTTGGGCCAGCCTGCCTGGCTGCTGTTTCACTCAAGGCCCTTCTGCTTGCTCCCAGCTCCTGGACCTTTTTGACAGTGAAGACCCTCGAGAGCGGGACTTTCTCAAGACCATTCTGCACCGCATCTATGGCAAATTCTTGGGGCTCCGGGCTTACATCCGCAGGCAGATCAACCACATCTTCTACAGGTGAGGCTGGAAGCCCAGGCTGAGGGACAGAGCCAGCCTTTGTCAGGGTGGGTGAGGTAGGGCAAGGGCAGAACATGAGAAGCACATCAGTGAGGGGTCAGGGGAACCTTCTTCCCACAGGTTCATCTACGAGACGGAGCACCACAATGGGATTGCAGAGCTCCTGGAGATCCTGGGCAGGTGAGAGGTGGGGTGGGGTCGAGATGTCTGAGAAAGATCAGGGGCCTCGGTGCCTTGAACCTGGGTCTGGCATTCTGGCCCTAAAACCTTCCCTTAACTCCTAGTATCATCAATGGCTTTGCCCTGCCCCTCAAAGAGGAGCACAAGATGTTCCTCATCCGTGTCCTGCTTCCCCTTCACAAGGTGAAGTCGCTGAGTGTGTACCATCCTCAGGTGAGCTGCCCTCCTCCTGAGCACCCCAGCTGGGCAGCAGAGATCAGAGGGAAGGGGCAGGGATGACAATGGGTGGAGAAATTGCTGCTTACCTCTCCAGAATGGATGGAACCATCCATTCTGGGCTCTTGTCTTTGCCACTGACCTCTGAGATCCCCACCCCTTTCCTATCTACCTTCTGCAGTTGGCATACTGTGTGGTTCAATTCTTGGAGAAGGAGAGCAGTCTGACTGAACCGGTAATTCCCCTATGGGGCCCCAGGTCCCATCTCCCCAGTACTTTGCCAGTCTGTATCTCTTTTTGTTTTAGCCAGTCTTTTTTTTTTTTTTTTTGTCTTTTTATCGGTACCAGGGATTGAACTCACGACTGCCTGCTTGCAAGACAGGCGCTTATGCCGCTGAGCTAAATCCCCAGCCCTTAGCCAGAGTCTTATGTAGTCCATACTGACTTTAAACTCCCTGTGTATAGCCCAGATTACAGGAGACACTCCTCCTGCCTCAGCTTCCCAAGTGCTGGGATTATAGGCATGTGCTATCATGTGCCTCTTGAGGAGTGCTGCAAAGGGATAGAGGTGGGGCTGTAGCCTGACAAGTGATATGGTCTCCTATCTGATGGAGAAGTAAACCCTGTATACACCTGGGAAACACATCCATGCCAGAGCAACACAAGCAGTTAGCAGAAGTCACCCAGGGGTGGGGCAGGGTGGCAGGAAGCCTCCTAGAGACCAGGCGGTGTTCAGAGTTTTTCCTCACGTTCTATTCTCACAGGTGATTGTAGGACTTCTCAAGTTTTGGCCCAAGACCCATAGTCCCAAGGAGGTGATGTTCCTCAATGAGCTTGAGGAGATCCTGGATGTCATCGAACCCTCAGAGTTCAGCAAGGTGATGGAGCCCCTCTTCCGCCAGCTTGCCAAATGTGTCTCCAGCCCACATTTCCAGGTGAGGACAGACCTACCCTAGCCTGGCAAGGCCTCTGCCTCCGAGAAACCCAGCAGCGGGTCCTATACAAGGCACACAGGGCCCCAGAGTTGTCCCACCTCTCCCCACCAGGTGGCAGAGCGTGCCCTCTATTACTGGAACAATGAGTACATCATGAGCTTGATAAGTGACAATGCTGCCCGTGTCCTCCCCATCATGTTCCCTGCACTCTACAGGAACTCCAAGAGCCACTGGAACAAGTATGGCCCCAGGCTGGGATGGGCAGTGGGAAAGCTTTGAGGATTTGGGATGAGCTGAAGACCAGGGCCCTCACCTAAGGGGAGTGCAGAGAGAGTGATGCCATGAGGGGCCAATGACACTGAACAACAGAGCAGTGGCTGTCTCCCATTGCTGCTTGGTCATCTGACAGCTCTAGTGGCAGTGCTCTGCTGGGGGAAGCAGATGTTGTCTACACTGTAGCAAGGCTTTCCTGCTAAGAGCAAGTATGCAATGGCGTAGACATAGTATGCTGACAGGAGGCTGTTATAGAGTGGGGAGCAGCGAGAAGAGTATAGGCTTTGGGGCATGGGATGCAGAAAGACACTGATGTTAGCAGAGACCTTTAAATGCCAGTCACAGGCATGTGCTCTGACTGACTTCTCTGCTTATACCCATGAAGCTTTGTGAAGCAGGAGCAGTAAATGAGAAAACTTAGCAGAAACACCTCCTAGAAATGAGCAAAATGGCTTCTTGGTGCTAAGGGTGAGCTCCGGCCTCCTGTACATCACCTTTCTTCTGGGTGGCAGGACAATTCATGGACTCATCTACAATGCTCTGAAGCTGTTCATGGAAATGAATCAGAAGCTGTTTGACGACTGCACACAGCAGTATAAGGCAGAGAAACAGAAGTGAGTGTCTTCCCTGGGAGGCTTTTACCTTCTACCTCTGGCTCCCTTTCCTTCTCTTTTCTTTTTTTTTTTTTTTTTTTTGTCTTTTCTTTTTTATCGGTACTGGGGATCGAAGTCACGACTGCCTGCTTGCAAGGCAGGCGCTTATGCCGCTGAGCTAAATCCCCAGCCCCTCCCTTTCCTTCTCTTAAGCCCATCCCAATCCTACTTGTGCTTCCACAGGGGCCGGTTTCGAATGAAGGAAAGAGAAGAGATGTGGCAAAAGATTGAGGAGCTGGCCCGGCTTAATCCCCAGGTAAAACTCGGTGCATTTAGAACTGGGGGATTTTTTAGAGGAAGGGTTTGAGGCAGCCAGGACACACCCCTCAAAGTGAGTCTCACCACTTGCCCACGCCTCCTGTCCCTCAGTATCCCATGTTCCGAGCGCCTCCACCACTGCCTCCAGTGTACTCCATGGAGACAGAGACTCCCACAGCAGAAGACATCCAGCTTCTGAAGAGGACGGTGGAGACAGAGGCTGTGCAGGTGGGAGGGCCCCAGGGTGAGGGTTGGAGGGTGGGATAGAAGTAATCTGGAAGGAAAAGGAGGTAAGAGCAGCAGAGCCCACAAAATAAGGAAACAGGAGACTTCCTTGAAAATTAGTTACTAATCCTTATTTTCTTGCTTTTTCTACACAGATGCTAAAGGACATCAAGAAGGAGAAAGTGCTGCTCCGGAGAAAGTCTGAGCTGCCCCAGGATGTCTACACCATCAAAGCACTGGAGGCACACAAACGGGCAGAGGAGTTTCTGACTGCCAGCCAGGAGGCTCTCTGACCCCCTTCACCTCCCACAGGGCCACAGCACACTCAGCCCTGGGCGCTGTCCTGGCCCTCTACCCTGTGCTCCCTCCTGACTGACTGGGGCAAGGCAGCACCTCTAGCTACTCAAGGGGATGTGGGCACTTGAAGCAGGGATACCGAGAGTGGGGCTGCTTCTTCCCAAAATGTGTTTATGCCTCTATGTGGCCACTACAAACGGGCTGAGTACCAGTGCTCAGACAACCTGGGGATGCCCATGCCCCTCCTTCTCCTGACCCCACACCTCCCTGAGGCTGCTCTGAGAAACAGGAATACATATGCTCCTCTCCCCGCATCCTCATCTGAACTCTTATCTGTGTCTCTCTGCCTTTTCGGCCCCTGCAGAGGCACGCAGGAAGCAGCAGGAGATTATTCTCACCAAAGTTAGGCAAGCTCCACTGGCCTCTGGAGTGAGGAGCTGGAGGGTGCTCAAATAGGCCCTCAGCCTCAATGTGCAGGCCAATGTATTATGTCCTCTTCCCCACTGTCTAACAAAACAGGTCAAAATGAGGAAAGTACAGGCTATGGACAAATGATAAACACAGGACCCAGCTGGACCATGGCCAGGGAGGGTGTAGGGGATGACCAGACCCCCTCCTCTATGGTGAGCAGCAGCCCTGGGAATCGTAAACATGGAAGGGACCACCCTTGGCTGACTGCTTTCCTGTGCTGTGGATTCTTAAAACTAGAAAGAAGGAAGCAGGGAGCAGTGCCTTAAGCACGGCTCCCATAACACCTATTTATTTCCTTGATTGTGCTGACAAGCAGCCCTTCACATGTGTCCCCTTTAGAAACCTTAAGAGGGGGAAAAGGGCCAGGGAGGGCTGGACCCAGGTCCCAGGGGGATACAGGCAGTGCGGCTTTTGGCTGTGTACATAGGGTGCTTTATTCTCCACAATGATACATACTAAGTGGGTTGGGCTTGGGCCAATGTCCCCATATGTACAGAATTGAATAAAATGGGTCTCTGAGCAGATGTCTAATTTTCCTTGATGTGAAAGGAAGAGAGGATGGAGATGGACATTACAATCAAAGATGTGTTCAGTCCTGTGCTGGCTCTGGTCTGGAATGTTGGGAGATGAGGCAGTTCTCAGTGTGGTCACTTCCAGGCTGGAGATGCCTGCCGGGCTTGGAGAGCTTTCTGTACCACATCTTCCCACTGGGCATCTGATATCTCCCGAGCCCAGGCAGGAACCCCTGGTGCAGGTAGACTTACTCCAGCCATTGTCCTTTTCACCAGTTCTACGTGCTCTGAAATCACAGGCTGATTAAGCATGGTAACAATCGGACTTCCCTTGTCATTCAACCCAAAGTCCTGGGCCAGTGGAATTACCAAATCCACCTTGATAGTCTGGAAGACAGCCCCCTCCCATAACAACTGCAATTCTGAAGTCTGCAAAACGCTAATTTATGAAGTATTTTTCTAAAAATAAGGTGTTTCTCCGAAACTGCCAATTACTGGCTGAGGCCAGTGCACTGTATCATGAGTCTTGGATGAAAGACAGCCTTTTTTTTTTTTTTAAATTTTTTTTTGTCTTTTTCCTTTTTATCGGTACCGGGGATCGAACTTATGCCGCTGAGCTAAACACCCAGCCCCTGAAAGCACAGCTTTTTTACCTGGGTCCATGGGGATGGAACTGTGGTTGCTCAGTGCTGCGGCTCCCTCCTCATCTTCATCCTCACTCTCTAATGGTGGGTCAGGCAAATGAAGTCCCAGGGCCTGCAGAGCCAGAGACGGCAGCTCAGGTCCTGCCTTTTGGGGAGTCACCTGCTCACGAGTAATTCCCCCTCCACTGTACCTGGATCCGATCCTGGATGTCAGCAACTACATCTCCATCCCCCACGGGTGCCAGCTCTACCTCTTCGGGGTCAGGGTCTTGGTTCAGTGGTTGATAGGAGTAGCCAGCTGGGCCTACCCCTGTGTCCTCCTGCTCCTCCTCAGGTTCTTCACTGCTCCAATCCCCGGTGCCTTCTGTGGGGCCCTGGTGTGGCCCCAGGTCCTCGCTTTGGTTTGGGAAGATACGCTCAGGGCCCATGGTGTCTCCCGTTAGAACTGCTGCTGCCATGCGGGCTGGGGCTGCAAGAACGGAGGAATAGGGACCAAATGAAGCCAGCTCATCTTCATCCTCTCGTCTACGAGACTAGCTCTACTCCCGGTGCCCGCATTATCTTCGCTCCTTCCCGTCTCTCATTCCCTCAAGTCGGGGGCTCCTACATGGAATTTAGCTCCACTCGCCAAGATCCTCCAGTTTCTGAATACACAGCCCAACCCCAAGGCCCCACCACCCACTCCGCAACGCCCAGCTTCCAGAATCCCAGCTCCTCGCCACGCCCCTCTGGCCTCGAGAACGCGGCGTCGCGGACGCCCCCAGCCAGGCCGTGCCTGTTCTCCCTCCGCTTCTCGGGGCGTCCCTCGACACGGCCTGACGAGAGCGCCTCAGGCCCAGCTGAGGCATCCCCCCCCCCCCGCTCCCACCGACTTTTGGCGCCGGCGTCCCCGCGCGCCTCACCCTCTTGCAGCCCCTGGCCCAACCCGCACCTTCACTTCCGGCCCGGCTAGACGAGCCGGGGCGCCTAGTCCTCCAGCCCCGCCCAGGGCCCCTGACTGACGCGAGCAAGGACGAGGAGTCCACCCCTCGCCCCGCCTCCGCCATCCCCGGCTGATATCGAAGGACTACATTACCCAGTAACCTTCGCGCTCTGGGTACGGTTTCTGCACATGCGCAGATTTCCCGTCGGGTCCAGCGCACTGCTTTAGCCCCCCCCCCGACCCGCCTCCGGAAACCTGTGGACTACAAGTCCCAGAAGGAGCCGGGTCCCCAGAGGTCGGACCGCGCGTGCGCCCCTAGCTACCCACCGGAAGAGGGAGCCTGGTGTGTTTATCTCGTTGGAGACCTAGGCGTCCGTTGGCACGCCACGGGTTCTAGGCTGCAGGCAGCGCGAGGACCCGCGACCCCACCCCGGCCCGGCCTGGCAGGTAGCCTGGGATGGGTTGAGAAGCAAGGAAGAATTGGGGGTGGGGGCTGGTGACGCCCATGTCTAAAGCTGGAGCCGTGGGGGAGGGGCCCGAGAGTAATGCAGTGGTGGTGGGAAGGGACCTGGGGGATGACGGGAAAGGAGTGTTAATGGGGAACGAAGCAATGGGGAGAATGGTAGGGAAACGGTTGAGTGAGACCTGGTGGCTGAAGCAAGCAATGATGGAAAGTGAAGGAAGGCCGGGTTGTGAGGAGGAAGAGGAAGCTGAACATCATAGAGGAGGGAGTGTGTGTGGTGATGGGGAGGTTCAGCAGGGGGAAGTAGATAGGGATGGGGTTATATTCAGGGAAGAATATCCCCGTGGGTGAAAAAGAACAGTGAATTTGTTTTTCTTCTTTTCGTGGCGGTATAAAAATGGGTTTCTTGGCTGGATCCTAGACTTGTAAGAGAAAGAGAAATGCAAAGCTTTCAGATTAAGAAGTGCCACAAAGGGGGGGGGGGTGAGGATTGCAAGAGACCACAGAGGGGGATGGATACTTCAAGGAGATAGAAGCGCTTGAAAATGTCATAGGGATAGAGGATTGGGGAGCCCCAGATAAGAGGAGCTCTTAGAACACAGGGGCTTGTTCTTCCTGAGTCTGAGTTGTCGTTATGGAAGAGAAGCTAAGATGTTTTGTCCATCTTTGCCGGAATTGCTTGTCTCTTATGCATGCACTTCTTGCTTTACCTGGCTGTATCTGAAGGGCGGGTACACGGTGTGGGGAAGATGGATTTCTGTTTTTAAGCCTTTCACCTTCTTAAGTGCCTACCCCACTGGAGCCCAGGTCCAACACACTTTGGAGGGCTGGAGTATTGAAGCGAGAGTAGCTTCTGGCTGGGGTTATTTCAAGTTGGCAGGGTGGCAATTTAAAACTCAGTGTTGGCTTGGGGGGAAGTTGTGTGAGTGAGACTGGCAAACCAGTCGATAGCCATGTCTCCTTCCAGCAAGGGGCCTCCTTTACTTTTGTGTGTGTGTGGAGGGGGGAAGGTGCACACGTGCGCGCCTAGTTTTCTGCCTGGTGCTTTTCTTTGCCAAGGCTTTTTGAACAGGGAGCAGATGATCTGCCCAAACCCAGCAGGTGTCTGCCAGCAGAGGCCTTGCAGTTGCAAAAGGGTTTGTCTGAAAGAGCCTTCAAATTATCACTGAGTTGGCAGTTTGTCTGTTAAGAGACCATGATCTCTCCTGCCTGGGTCTTCCTCTTTATCCTGTCTAAGGGCATTTTTCTTTTCCCTTTTCCTTTCCAGTACACACCTCACCCAGGGGCCCACATAGGGGAAGAACTGCTGGAAAAGGCTTATTCTGTACCACAGAGGGTTGGGGAAATGGCAGGAGGATGAAACCTCTTTCCCTGCTCCCAGACCCAGAATACACATACCTTCCTGGTTTAAGTTTCCAGTTCTGGCAGCATACCAGGCACAGCTGTCAGAGGAACTCTTCATGCCTGTTGGGCCCTGGGTGACCCCAGGGACAGCGGCTCAGCTTGACAAGAACTCTCTGTGAGGGGCTAATCAACTATGGTAACATGGGGTTCCCTGCCCTGGGTAGGGGCAGTGTTCTACTCTAACAGCTTTTTTACTTTAAAGCACCCATGCCAGCTTTCAATGGGTTGCTAGCGCTGTCCAGGATATTAATAGCTGTGTGTATTTTGATATCCCCACCTTTAAGAGCATAGAGATTCTTAGAGAGGTGGCAGAGAACAGAACCAGAGACAAGGGAGCATACCTGCTTGCAAAGAGGGCTTGGAGCTTGTTCCAAGGACAGGGTGGAGCCTCTATGAGTGGTGTGGGGGCGACCATGATCACTGGAGTCTGAGCTGGCAATCAGGTTGAGGCAGCCTCACTTTTTGATGTGGGAGAATACAGGCCCAAGGCTTGTTCCTTGACCTCACTAGCTCCCTGGGGGCAGGGCCAGCCACCAGAGCTGACTCGTGTCCCTGTGGAGAGGTGGTGTGGGAGCACCAGGGTCACACTTGGAGGTGAGGGCTGGTCTTGGGCAGTCTCAGAGCACTGGGCAGAAGCCTTGCTTAAAGAACCCGTGGCCCTGATTTGACATAGGTACCAGAGGTAACAGGCCGTGCCGGGGGGGCATGTTGCTGTGACTAGTGGCCCAGGGGATGTTACGGTGGACAGTGCATCTGGAGGGAGGGCCACGCAGGGTGAACCATGCTGCAGTGGCTGTCGGGCACCGGGTGTACTCCTTTGGAGGTTACTGTTCTGGTGAAGATTATGAGACGCTGCGACAGATAGACGTTCACATTTTCAATGCAGGTAAGCCAGTGCTGACACTGTCCCTGGGTGCCCACTTGCAGAGAGGGGAGTGGGTGGCTGGATGAATTTTGGTGGTGACTCCTGTAGTCCCAGGGGTTGGGCATGGATGTCTGGTTTGGGAAATGTCTGGTTTGGATACCTGGAGGGAGGTTCCCAGGGCTGAGCAGAGCTGTGCCCACAGTGTCCTTGCGTTGGACAAAGCTGCCCCCAGTGAGGCCAGCCGTTCGTGGGCAGGCTCCTGTGGTTCCCTACATGCGGTACGGACACTCAACCGTCCTCATCGATGACACAGTCTTCCTTTGGGGCGGGCGGAATGACACAGAAGGAGCCTGCAATGTGCTCTACGCATTTGACGTCAGTGAGTAGGGGTCTCAAAAGAGAAACTCTGTTCTACCAGATGGTGCCAAGGGGCTTGGGAAAGGTGTGGTTGAGCCAGGGGAATAGGGGTACGCAGAATTTAGGAGGGTGCTGACCTGGCTCATTCTTTCACTTCCTTTAGATACTCACAAATGGTCCACACCCCGAGTATCGGGAGCAATTCCTGGGGCCCGGGATGGACATTCTGCTTGTGTCCTTGGCAAGATTATGTACATTTTTGGGGGCTATGAGCAGCTGGTAAGCCTGGGGAAAAACCGGAGGTTTAGTATGGGAATGAGAAAGAGGAAGGCATATTAAACATAATGGAATGGGAGACTTTGCTGTTTGTAGATTTTAAGGGGAAGGCTGGAGGCTCAGTGTGACCTTGGTCCCCTCTTGTCTTCCTTTCTGTTCTCAGGCAGATTGCTTTTCCAATGACATTCACAAGCTGGATACGAGCACCATGACATGGACCCTTGTTTGTACAAAGGTCTGTCTTTCTTCCTCTAAGATCCCCACCCTTTACAGAAGAAATTATGGGAGCTCAGACTGAGAGCAGCTTTCCTCCAGCACCAGTGCTGACCTGCTGTGCCTCTCCATTCCTGACCAGGGCAACCCTGCGCGCTGGAGGGACTTCCACTCTGCCACCATGCTGGGCAGTCACATGTATGTCTTTGGGGGCCGTGCCGACCGCTTCGGGCCATTCCACTCCAACAACGAGATTTACTGCAATCGCATTCGTGTCTTTGACACCAGAACCGAAGCCTGGCTGGACTGTCCCCCCACGCCAGTGCTGCCTGAGGGGCGCCGGAGCCACTCAGCCTGTGAGTATCTGTTATTTCTGGGTGTAGTCTCTTGTCTTACCCCCCTTACTTTGTTTGGTGTGAGTTGTTTTGTTTTGTTTTGTTTTTTAACACTGGGAATTGAACCTAGGACCTCACACTTGGCAGGCAGGTGCTGTGCCACTGTGCCATATCCCTGGCCTTTTTTTTTTTTCTTTTTGAGACAGTTGTTAAATTGCTAGGCTGGAGTGGAATTTAGTCTTTCAGCCTGGCCTCCCAAGCTGGGATTACAGGTGCTTGTCACTATCTTCCATACTCTTGATTTCCTCTGTCCTTCCAGTTGGCTACAATGGGGAGCTGTACATCTTTGGTGGCTATAATGCAAGACTGAACCGGCATTTCCATGACCTCTGGAAGTTTAACCCTGGTAAAGAGCACAACTTTTAGGGGAACTTTTAGGAGCAACTGAAGTGGGAGGAAAAGAATATCCTGAGTAGAAGAGGACTGGGAAGCGGAGGTACCTGGACTGAGCAGGTACTGAATTTCTGTATAAACTTCTCTTTAGTGTCTTTTTCCTGGAAAAAGATTGAACCCAAGGGAAAGGGACCATGTCCCCGCCGGCGCCAGTGCTGCTGTATTGTTGGTGACAAGATCGTCCTATTTGGGGGTACCAGGTTAGGAGGAGAGAAGGGAGGGCCCAGGGAAGGACAGAGCCTGTCTACCAGGGAAGCAAGAGGTTTCTGAGCAAGAGTCTTGTGGGGGTTTCCCTCTTACTTTCAGTTCTTTTGATCCCTACAGCCCATCTCCTGAGGAAGGCCTGGGAGATGAATTTGACCTCATAGATCATTCTGATTTACACATTTTGGACTTCAGTAAGTAGTTACTTCTGAAAGTGCTTCTTGTCAGCAGGGTGCCTGTCTTTGGGTGGTGCTCTCCAGGACTGGACCTTTTCTTGGTTTTAACCAGCTTCCTCCTCCAACTCCTCCCTTTAAGGCCCTAGTCTGAAGACTCTGTGCAAACTGGCGGTGATTCAGTATAACCTGGACCAGTCCTGTTTGCCCCATGACATCAGGTACAGTGAGTGCTTGCAAAAGAGGAACTGGCTGGGGGGGTGGTGGTGAATGAGCAGCACAGGTGTGACCCGATTAGCTTGCGTTCAGTGTGGAGGATACAGGCATTTTTGTCCTGCTGGAGATGTGTTCTTATGAATAATGAGATGGAAGCAGCTATACCTACCACCATGTAATAAAATTGTCAGCTGGGTAAATACTATTAAATGAGGTGTTTTTTTTTTTTTTTTTTTTTTGTACCGGGGATCGAACTCACAACTATGCACTTGCAAGGCAGGTGCTTATGCCGCTGAGCTAAATCCCCAGGCCCCGTAAAATACTATTAAAAAGAAATAGTTTTTTATTTTTTGTATTAGGAATTAAACTCAATCTCATGTCTGCCAGGCAGGTGCTCTTCTACCAGGCTATATCCCTGGCCCAGAAATAGGGTTGTTTTTTTTCCCCCAGAAATAGTTTTTTGAATGAAGCTCAGAGAGGCATCACTTCCTGAGACCTGAGCTTATAGAGCTGTTTTTGTTAGTAAGAATGGCTAATTAAATCTTTTGTCCTAATTTCAAGGTAAAGTTTAGGAGCCTCTTTTCTTCCTTCTTTTTTTCTTTCTTGATTTCTTGAGATAGGGTCTCTCAGCTCTGTAGTCCAGGCTGGCCTCGAATTCACTGTATTCATCCTGCTTCAACCTCCTTGTCCACCATGCCACCTAAGCCTCTAGATCACTTTAGTTCTAGAAATAAGGGAGGCCCTGGCTCCTTGCCTCTGAATTCCATCTTTAGGCTCAGGTCAACCACCAAGGGTTAAGCCTGGTCATTCTGAGACACTTCTTCCTGCTAGTGTCACTTCACTTTAACTCTTACTTGCTGAGAGTCTGTGTGTTCCATGTTTGATGACAGGGAGGATACAGGTTGAACTGTTGGGTCCCAGGCTGGCCCAGGATTGACACACGTCCAAGTGCCTGACACCAAGTAGACTGCTTAGGTCTTGGCATAAGGAGGTACTTGGTCAATCTTTGTAGAATGGAAAGGACTGTGTAAAAGAGCAATTTAATTTCAATGTGGTGGGTTGGGTGAGGAGGCCCGGGAGGGAGGAGCTCTGAGTCAGGCCCTGTGTAAAAACATCAACAGGAAATGCACATGAGCTTGGAGGTGGAAGAGAGATGGCAAGATCTATGGTGGGTGAGGGTGATAGGGCTGGCAGGAAGAGGTGGCTGTGGGTAGTTGAGCTTTAGAAAGTTCTGTGTTCAAAGAATTTTGAGCTGGGGGTTGGCGCACCCTCGCTGTCCTTTCTGAAGATCCGTTGGTCCTCCAGGTGGGAGCTGAATGCCATGACCACCAACAGCAATATCAGTCGCCCGATCGTCTCCTCCCACGGGTAGGAGGAGTCTGCGGCCTCCCTCCTGCACCTGCTGTAGTCGTCAAAACCCCTGCCACCCCTCTCTCTCACCTGCCTGCCCCCTTTGGACCCGGACTCAGTTACTTCCACATGGAGTTGTTGGACTAGAGGTGTTTCCGTGCTGTGAATTAAGTGGGGAGCTGGCGGGAGCGAGGGCCAGGTCCCTCCCGTCGGGCCGAGGGCCCCTTCCCCTTGGTGCTCTGTTCCCATCCACCTCCCTCCAGCTGCTCCTGGGCCCTGTTCTGCCTCAGGCTGGCCAGTAAACCAGGCTCTGCTAGGAAGGGAGGCGAGTGGGGAGAAGGGAAAACCGTGCTGCGTCCAAGCCTCAGGAGCCTCCCTCTCCCCCTCCTCCACCGTGCCACCCTCCCTGCTTGAGCATTGCCTGGCAGCTGCGAGGAGCTGCAGCTGTTGGCGCGCGACCTCCTCTCCGGGACCTGGGGAGGCGGGGCCCAGCCCATTACCCCACCCCTTCCTGAGCGGCTGCTGCACCCTGAAGCTCAGCCAGCTCCGGTTTTATAAAAATGAAGTAAAACCTGCCCGCGTGTGGCGTGTTCTTGTGGAATAGCGTGGAGAGGGAGGAGTTTGTAGTGGGACCAGGGGACCAAGGGCGGGTGCCCCGAGGTACCGACTTCCCGGCAGGAGGAAAACTGGTTGAACCGATGAGTTTCTGCTCGCCGGGCCTTCTCGCCTTCGGGTGGGGCTGTGGACAGCTCGGCGAGTCGCCGTTCCAGTCCCGCCCTGGGCACGCCCGGAAGAGGGAGGGCGGGAGCCGCCGCGAGCGGAAGTGGCGTCGCTCCGTCGCACCGCGGAGGGGCCCATGGTGAAAGTCGGTCGGAGTGCCGGGCCTCTGGCTCGGCGTCCTCGCCGGAGCCCGGACGGCGGGGATGATGGCGACGGCGGGGGACGGGAGCTGGGGACCGCGGCTTGCCACCTGCCGAAGGGTAAGCCTCTGGGTCGGGGAACGGCACCGCTGTACCCGAGAACGGCGGACGCTGGGGTTGTGTGCCGCTCTGGGAAGAAGGGGTTGAGGGGCGCTTACTAAATATGCAAGGAGTGAGGGAAGGCTCAATAGGTTGGGATGCAGAAAATTGCTCAGGCGTTTACTGGGCATCTGTACGCAGGCACAATTCATCTGTAGGGACTAGTGAATAAAGCCCTCGGGCTTACCTCTCAGGCAGTTAAAGCCTGCCCTGGTGGTGCATGCCTGTTAGGCCAGCACCTGGGAAACTGAGAAGGGAGGGTCGTCACGACCTTAAAGGCCAGCCTGGGCTACATAGTGAGACCCCTGCCTGAAGGCGGGGTCGGGGGCATGGTTTAAAAAGGCATATGAGTGAATTAGTACGTACAAACGCTATAAAGCCCTGAACTGTACACTTTAAAAGGTGAATTTAATGGAATGTGGATTATGTAAGTTTTTTTTTTTTTTCAAAAAAGAAAACGGTTACCGAGAGAAAGCAGGGGAGGGATTGCAACTTTTAATACATATATATATGTGTTTAGTATTTTTTTTTTTTTTTTGTCTTTTTCATTTTTATCGGTACCGGGGATTCGAACTCACGACTGCCTGCTTGCAAGGCAGGTGCTTATGCCACTGAGCTAAATTCCCAGTCCCCTGTGTTTAGTATTTTTGAGACGGAGTCTGTGCAGTTCAGTCAAGGCCTTGAGCTCGCTTTGTAGCCAGGGTGATCTTGAACTTGAAACAGGCCTCCTTCCCCAGCCTCCCAAATGCTGGTATTAAAGGAGTGTGCCACCACCTCTGGCTAGAAATTGCAGTTTTAAACAAAGTAGAGATGGCCACACTGGGACAGTGACATTTCAGCAAAATGTTGAAGATTGTGTGCAAAGGACCTGAGGTGGGGACATACCTTCCTGCTCAGGAATAGCTGGAAGGCCAACCAGTCAGAGAGGAGTGAGAGCCCGATTCTTTGGAATTGAAATTAGAAATCATACAGCAGTCAGTCACTTGGAAGCCTTTACTCTGAGCAAGAAGGAAACTGTATAGAGCTTCGAATTAAGGTTTGCTATGATGCAAAGTTTGTGTGCAGGGTGAGAACAGATTTAATACTTCTCAGGCTGAGGGGTGAGGTTGGGAAACCTTCGTGGAGGTTGGGGTGTGGACAGAGGAGAGGAGTGTGGAGAGCATGAGCCAGAGCCTTGGCGACGCCAACTGAGCCAGCCACCAAGGGTCTGTGGGAAATCCCTGTGAATTCAGAGTAGAGGGTGCAGAAGAAGGTAGAAGGCTTAGTTGACCTCTGACACAACAGCTTTTCTGCTAGCCGAAGCTGCAGGTTACTGAAAGAGTTGGTGTGAGTGTAGAAGCAGTGCAGTCTGTGTTACTGTAACTTATAATAAAGATTAATCTATTAGGGGCAGTAGAGAGGACCAGGTGCCTAAGGGGTCGTGATAGGCTGTTGTCTTTCCTAAATGGAAGATAGTGAACTGAGTTGTGTGGCCTTCCTGTACCCATACTTTTTTTTTTTTTTTTTTTGTCTTCGTTTTTATCGGTACCAGGGATCGAACTCACGACTGCCTGCTTGCAAGGCAGACACTTATGCCGCTGAGCTAAATCCCCAGCCCCTATACCCATACTTTTGCAGGAATGGCCGAGATGTCATTCGAGGAGCTGTTGAAACTCCAGAACCAAGTGGGGACCAACACACACAAAGAGTTGGTAGCTAAAAACAAGAAGCCAGCTTCCAGAGCCTCTGCCCGGAATGCCTGTGTTGCAGATAAACACAGGTGAGAGCTAGGCCTGCCCAGGAGTTAGAGGTACCTAGCATCACTTGGGTAGCTGGTGGGAATCCTTTGACCACACTGGTTTCTCTTTCTTTTCATTTTTCTATAGGCCTTTGGAAATGTCAGCCAAGGTCCGAGTGCCATTTTTACGTCAGGTTGTCCCCATCAGTAAAAAGGTGAGGAAATGGTGGGAAGCACTTCCTCAGTGAAAGGAGACTGAGTAGTTCATCTTATACTCTCCCAATATTCCGAAGGTGGCCCGGGATCCCCGCTTTGACGATCTGTCGGGGGAGTATAATCCTGAGGTGTTCGACAAAACTTACCAGTTCCTGAATGACATCCGAGCCAGAGAGAAACAGGTGGGCTGCCTGACACTTTCCTGGGGGTCTTTGGGATCAGGGGTTACAGGTAGGCAGAGGGGAGTGAGAAGGTAACAATTACTGTGTAATTACTGTGGAATTTGTTTTTAGAAATTTCAATTCAACAGTTTTCTAGCTGTGTGACCATCACAAGTTATTTAATTGTTTTGCTTCAGTTTTCTGTTGGTTTTGTGAGGAAGTTTTGTTATCTGTAGATTTTTCTTTTCTAGGACAGTCTGTAGTCCAGGCTGGCCTTGAATTCGTGATCCTCCTGCCGCAGCCTCCTTAGTGCTGGTTTGTTTGTTTGTTTGTTTTTGGTACTGGGAATTGAATTTAAGACCTTATTCTTGCCAGGCAGGCAATTATGCCACTGAGCTAAATTCCTGGCCCCTGGAACTAATCTTTTATTTTGCTTGCTTGCTTATTTATTTATTTATTTATTTATGTCTTTTTGAAACAGGGTCTATCTATGCAGTTCAGGTTGGCCTTGAGTTCACTTTGGTTGATGTTTTTTTTTTTTTTTTTTTTTGGTGGTGGTACTGGGGATCGAACTTACGACCTTGCACTTGCCAAGCAGGCGCTTATGCCACTGAGCTAAATCCCTGGCCACTTGAGTTCACTTTGGAGCCCAGGCTGGTCTCAGACTCACAATGATCCTCTTGCCTCAGCCTCCTGAATGTTGGGATTACAGGTGTGAGCCACCGTGCCTGGCTCAGGATTAATCTGTTAAAATTGACAATAGTAATTGTTCATGTCAGAGTTTAGTGTGGCATTTCAGTGCCTAGATTTGTGAATGGTTTTGTTTGCAAATAATTTGGTTCACAAACAGAAGCATTTGTTAAACTTTTTTGTTTGCAAACTGCATTGGGTGACAAATATGACTGAGGCCATCTTTTCCAAAATTGTAGAACAAATTAAGTTTGTGAAGTGAGGTATCTCAGTACATGTATTTGGTGTGTAATATTCAGATCAGGATAATTGGCATATCTGTTACTTCTGGCATGCATGTTTTTTACCTTGGAAAAATTGAAAATCCTCTTATCAGCTATTTTGAAATATTCCATTGTGGATTTTTTGAAGGTAATAAAATAATAAAACAGAACAAAACACAAAACAGTGAAAATAATACAGAATTTCAAAAACAAGACAGAAGGAAATTCCCCATAGTTGCTGGTTGCTATCATCCCAGCATGTGTTCCTCCAAATCAGCCAGTTGCCCTATGGTGAGGAGGACCCTGTTGTTTCCCAGCCCACACACTAGCTAGTTCATGAGAAAGATAGGCTAATGAAATACTCTATTGTTGCCAGGTATGGAAGTACACACCTGTCATTCTAGCACTTAGGAGGCTGAGGCAGGAGGATTGCTGCAAGTTTGAGACCAGGCTAGCTTGTGTAGTGAGCTTAAGGCCAACCTGGACTACATGTAGCAAGACCCTTTTGTCAAAATATGAACAATATTACGTTGTCCACAACTCAGATGTCATCTTCCCTGTCTAGCTTTGCCCAGCAATCCCCCTCTTCCCACCCCTTCCTCCCACTCTTTTCGGGCTCTGGTGACCACATGATGTTCTCCACTTCTCTCAGGCTTCTGAGGATGGTGATTGAATTTAGAGCCTCACATATGCTAGGCAAGAGGGTATGGTGTTGGCCCCTGTTCACTCTTTCCTTAAGATCAGCTTCATTTCCCACATAATAAGTGAGAGCATGTAATATTTGTCTGCCTGATTTATTTCACTTAACATAATCTTCTCTTTTTTTTTCTCTTGAGGTACCCTGTCTCACTGTAGGGCAGAGTAACCTTAGTGGCACAGCACCAGTCTGGCAAGTGCAAGGTCCTGAGTTCAATTCCCAGTACAAAAAAAAAAAAAAATCCCTTCATATATGTGGCCCAAGCTCATAGCGGTCCTCCTACTTCAGCTTCCCTAATGCTGGGATTATAGGTGTACACTACCACACCCAGCTCTGCTTGCTTACTTGTTTTCTATTTTTGAGATGGTCTTACTGTGTAGTCCAGGCTGGTTTTGAACTTGTGATTCTCCTGCCTCAGCCTCCTGAGTCCTGGGATTATGGATGTGTACTGCTGTGCCTGGCTGGTTTCCTAATCATAAGAGCGATGCAATGAGCTGGGGTGTAGCTCAGCAGTAGAGTGTATGTTTAGTGTGTACAGGGCCCTCATTCTATCTGCAGTACCACACATACAGGGATAATGAAATTGCTGTCCCATAGTCTCGTCACGTTTGTTTTCGTGATCTCTTGAATAACAGAGTCTCTGCTGACAGACACAGAGCACTAACTGTCCTGCTCCTTGTGTAACGTGCAGCTTGTGAAGAAGCAGCTGAAGAAGCACCAGTCAGAGGAGGAGCGCGAGAAACTGCAGCAGCTTCTCCAGCGGCTGGTAAATGGGTGACGTGGCTGTGAGAAAGTGGAAGGAGGGTGCTGAGGCCCTCCCACCTGATCATCCATCCCATCTGTGCTTCCAGGAGCAGCAGGAAGCAGCCCAGCAGGAGAGGAAGCGGCAGCAGGACCTCCGCCTGGCCCTGAAGCAGGAGCAGCGAGCTAGGGCCCAGCAGGGCCATCGGCCATACTTCTTCAAGAAATGTGAGTGGGGTGCAGCTCTGCCAGGCTGGTTACAGGGACAGTGTGAAGGCCAGGTCGGGGAATGGTTTGGGGTTAGTGAGCTCTCCTAAGGGGGCATGAAGAGTTAGGTGTGTGCTTATCTCTAAGTCCAGTACTAGGGAGCCTGGGGCAGGAGGATTGCTAAGTCCAAAGCCAGCCTGGACTATATAATGAGTTCAAAGTCAGCCTAAACTATATCACAAGACCCTGTCTCAAAAAAAGAGAAAGAATAAAAACCAGAAGGAAGGAAGGAGACTAGATCCTATGGTGACTCGTAGGAATAGTAGGGAAGAACTTGGCAACCAATCTTGCCGGTTGATGCCCTCACAGAGACTGGTGAGCTCTAAGCTGCCCATACCCTAGCAGGGAACAGAAGAGGTGGTGTCCCTTCTCATCAGCCTCTTTTCTCCCTGCCATCCAGCTGAGCAGCGCCAGTTGGCCCTAGCGGAGAAATTTAAGGAGCTGAAACGCAGCAAGAAGCTAGAGAGTTTCTTGAGTCGCAAAAGGCGTCGCAATGCAGGCAAGGACAGGAGACATCTGCCTTTGAGCAAAGAGTAAAAGGAGCCGTCACGTCCGCCACTTCCCAGGAGATGTGCATCTGCAAGACTGACGTGGGGCTGGCCTTTCCTGTTCAAGGGAGAGGCTCCCAGCTGCCCTGAACTAGGTTGGCTCAGAGACAGGGGTGTCTTGGATGGCCCTCGGACTGGAGAGAAAATGTCACTCAGTCGCTGCCATGCCATACTACCTCTGTGTGGACTATCATTGTGTCTTTGTGTCCTCCTTCCGTCCCTGCCTTAACCCAGTAGTTCTGATACAGAAGCAGGGAGCCCATGGGATCTGTTCATATAGGAGCTACATCATAAAAGTTGTTAATTAATCATCTCCATAGTATTCTGCTGTTTTTGTGGGACACCTCGAACTGCTGTTGTAGTGGGCTGTGTATGGATTAGGCAACCAAGCCCAAGTCAAATGAAAGGGTGCTGTGCTGGGCATGGTGGTGCCTGCTTGTAACTCCAGCACTCAGCAGGCTAAGACAGGAGGATTGCAAGTTCAAGGCCAGCCTGGTCAACTTAGCAAGAGCCTGTCTCAAAATAATAAAAAGAGCTTAAATGTGAGTGTAATTGATGAAAAAATAATAATAAAAAGAGCAAGGTAGGGTGGTCCATGCCTATAATTGCAGCCCTCTGGGAGGCTGGGGTGAGAGGATGAGTTTGAGTCCAGCCTGGGCAATTTAGAAAGACTGTCTTAAAAAATAAAAGAAAGTTGGGGATACAGGTCAGGGTGAAGACCTTTAGTTCAACCCCAATACCATAGGTGATGAGGAAGAAAACAAGGGTGGAAGAATAAATGGATGTTGGATGCTGGGTGAGCTAGGGATGTAGCTCAGTGGTAAATTGCCCTTGGATTTGACCCTCAAGTTTTTTTTTTTTTTTTTGAGACAGAGTTTCTCTGTATAGTTAAGGCTGGCCTTGAACTCATGGCAATCAAGTGCTGGGGTTACTGCTGTGTGCCATTGTGTCCAGTTTGATCTTAGCGTTGCCTTGCTGAGTTGGATGGTCTTGAAGGTACCTGCTAGTGCTGATAACAAGGTGGCCACAGCAGAGCTGGCGGGTTGAGCTGTGTGCTGAGGACAGGCAGCACAGGAGGGAACATCAGGGGCACTCAGATTTGGGGACTTTGTCCACTGCAGAGGAACAGATGGCATCTCTGGGTGACAAGGGCAGGTAGGGTGCCAACACTTCAGGGGAGACCAAAATGGGCCTGTGGTAGGGGCAGCACTGAGAGGGTTGGCAATGCAAGAAGGTCCCACTGTGTCGCTTGCTGTGCTTGCTGTCCTGGCCCCTGAAGTGCACAGCAGAGGACAAAGCTCTGAGAAACGCAGGAAGCTAGCACTAGAGCACCCTATCAAGGACAAGAGCAAGGCCCAGACTCATGCAAGTCCATAACCTCTGCTATGGAGGTGCCCAGGAGATAACCCTGGTGCCCTGAGCCCACTGCTGCCCCAGCCTGCTGCTTCCTGGCTGCTTCTGCCATTGAGGGCAGCATGGGCCAATGGATTGCGGCCTGCCATGTGGCCACCAGCCCCACCCTGTGACTCCTCAGCTCTGGCCTCTTTCTTCCCCAGGCTGTATTCCAAGTCCAGCCTTGGGTGGTGCTGGTCCCTTATGTCTCCTGTGCTCTCTCACCACCTGATTCCCTCCTTCCAGATTCTTTTGGGCTGTAGGAACTGAGGACTGTCCTCCTCCCTGCCAAATGCTCCTGCTGTATGCAGAGCTCCAACCTGGAACTGGGTGCCCTGGTCTGGTCTGTCTCAGTGCAGATGACAACAGAGCTTGCTGAGGACCAACTAAGGTAGCAATTCCAAGACAGCTCACTCAGAAGGGACATGGGCAGAGGACAGGAAGAGGGGCAACTTGAAGGAGCTGGTAGGAGGAGCTAGGGTAAGCCAGCTAGGGCAGTCATGGTGGTATCCATCTGTAATCCCAGCACTCAGCAGGCTGAGGCAGAAAGATGGTAAATTCAAGCCTGGCCAGGGCAACTAAAACTGTCTCAAAATTGTAAAAAAATTTTAAAAGGGCTGAGGGGCCAGGCATATAGCTCAGTGGTACAATGCTTGCCTGGGAAGTACGCAAGGTCCTGAATTCAATTCCTGGTACCAAAAAAAAAAAAAAAAAAAAAAAAAGAAAAGAAAAAAAGGCTGGAATGTATCTCAGTGCAAAGTTCTTGACTTCAAACTCCAGTGCTGCAAATACAAAAACCAAACACCTGAGCAAAAGCTACTGTCCTTCCAGTTCTGCCTCCAACCTATACCAGGTGGAAGACACACTTGGGACACTGCCTAAGTTATTTTAGCAAGGTGGTCACCAAACACATGCCCCATAATCATACTCATTTTATTTCCAAGAAAACCCCAGCCCAGGCTACCGGAAGGTGGAGAAGCTGTGGGTGCCAGTGCAGGAGGCATAGGGGACACCCCGGGAGCGAATCTGGAGGGTGTGGAACGTGAGGGGCGGGTTGGGGCCCAAGGATCCTGGGCTCAGGGACTCAGTGTGGGGTTCCACTATGGTCACAGGGACAGCATAGAACAGCACCTGTGGCCGGGTGTCGTGGCGTCTCAGCGTGCCCTTGCCCAGCAAGTGCAGGATGGAAGAGAGGACATCAGTGCTGCTGCATGTGGCACTCTTGCCAAGGCTGCTGATCAAACCCCGGGGTGGGCAGGGGCCCTTCTGCCAAGCCTCCAGCACCTAGCACGGAAGACCAGAGGCGGCTCAGAGCTATACTCACCCTGGCTTTCGCTTCAGCCACACACTCCTGGGCCATGAAATCCCAGGACACCAGTGCACCCAACCTCACGACACACTACAGGCTGCAAATGACCCCTGTGGCTGCACCCCGCCCCCTGTGCCCACCGCACCAGGCAGACAAGCCGGTCAATGTGCAGCCCCTCATCGCCGTGGGCCTTGAGGATCCGGACAACCAGGCAGTTCAGCAGGTTCCGCTTCTTCTCCAGGCTTCGGCCCTCTTCATTCTCCACCTCCAGGTACGTCTGAGGTGGAACAAGCCACACACTGCCCCACCTTGGTCTGGGTTCCTCAGCAGTGTCTCGAACCTTGAGCACCCCTGAAATAAGCACCGGTCACTGTGGGGCTGGGAATCTACCCTGACTTGGAGCAGAGGCCCCGCTGGCCCTGGGTGTGTACCTCCCGGGATGTCCTCTTGCTCTCGCAGCTCCAAGGGGCCTCGTGTGGACGTGAGAGGCCCAATGGCCCGATGCAGCAGGTGCGAAGGGAGCCCCGAGTGCGCCAGCAGGCTTTCTACGGACACCACCTTGTGGAAGAGGCACAGAGCATTTGAGGTATCCCAGGGGCAGAGGGAGGACACAGGGCAGAGAACAAAACATGGGGGACAAGCAGGAGAGGCCACAGAAGAGGGGCCAGGCCACCTTCAGATGGTTGAAATTCAGCAGCAGCCACATCTGCACAGTGGACACGTGCAAGGTCTGGTCCCCAAACTGCAGCTCAGCACGGCCTAGCCACGTCCACTCCAGCCGCCGATGTGGACCTCCCTCTGCGGCAGGCTGGGTCTGACCTGGAGAAGGCCAGAGAAGGGGAGAGATGGGATCCAGAGAGTGGGTGCTACTCATCTCTGCAGAGTACCCCATGGTTCCTGACACCAGACCTCATGTCCCTGGCCTGTGTCCCTGGCAGCCTCAGGTATCTGGGACCCACCTTTGCCTAGTCCCATACTAGGCTGGCACCAGTCAGTGTCCTTTTTTTTGTTTTTTGAGACCAGGCCTTGCTCTGTAGTTCAGAGCAATCCTCCTGCCCTCAGTCTCCAGAGTGCTGGAATTGTCACCATCCAGGCTCCAACTGGCCACAGGGTCCACTCCCACCCTGCCCTCTCCCCAGGTCCTAGGCCCCCGCTTGGCCACTCACTCTTGTGGTAGAAGTTAGAGTATTGGTTCACGGTTCCCCTCAGGTAGGAGGGCAGGCAGGTTTTTGGGTTCAGTATGTGGCAGATGGAGTTGACAGGCCAGCAGCGTGGTGACAGGACGAGCACAGATACTTTTGGCATCACCCCTTCATAGTAGAAGTCCTCATTCTCCTCCTCCTCCTCCTCTGCTGCAGCTGCAGCTGCAGGTGCCTTCCTGTCCTCCTGCTCATGTTCAGGCTCCTGGCCACCAGTCTCCTGGCCCACCTGAAGGAGCAAGGTGTTTGCCTATGCCAAGGGACTGCTGCGGCCACCTTGCGCCTCTCCTCCCTCCTTCCCTTTTGTTATTCCTTCCCTGGCCCCACCTGCAGTTTCCTTTCCGTGTCTTCCAGCTTCAGCAGTTCCTCATCAAGCTGCTGCAGCTGGTAAACATGAAATTGGCGCTGCAGTTCCTCCGAGGTGCGCAGGCTCCGCAACATCAGCTGCGGGAGGCGGTTGGGGAAGCAGAGGCCAATCTGCTCCAGCACAGCCCCCTCCAGCCAGCTGGGGCCCAAGCTCAGAAGTCGCTCAGCCATGTAGTGCCTGCAACACAGGCCCAGCCTCAGTGTAGGTGCCAGGCCAGCCTAGCCTCCCCGAGCCCATGCTCACTCCAGCCCACCAGTTCAGTCCCGGGCCTGTACTCACTGGTAGTAATGCTCAAAGGTAGTAGCCACTTCCAGGCCTGAGAAAACAAGGGCTGCTTCCAGGCACCTCTGAAGCTGCGCCAGCATCTCCATGCCCTGGGCTCCCCCAACCCGGCTGTTCTGGATCCGCTGGTCAATGTTCCGGGCAAACTGCTCGCTCACCTGGGTGTTGGGCATGCACAGAAAACCCCATGGGCAGGAGCAGTAGCAGGGCCTGAGGAGGTACACAGAGTGCCTAGCAGCCCACTAGCTGGTCAAGCCAAAGCCTTGTGTATACTAAGCACACACCGCCATGGAGCTACAACTGTAGCTTAGTCAACTTAGGCAGGAAACTTTTATGGAACCGTTAACACTCATGCAAATTAGGAATATGAACAACTCTGAGAAGTGTCCTTTCACACATACTGTCTCAAAATCAGGTAACAAAGCTGGATGTGGTAGTACATGCCTGTGATCCCAGCATTCTGAGAGGCTAAGGCAGGATCACCAGTTTGAGCTCAGTCTGGGCAATTCAGTGACTGAGGCCCTGTCTTAGTGACTTAAACCTGGACTCAGAAAAAAAGCGGGGTGGGCAGGTGCTGGGTTCCATCATAAGCATCACAGGCAGAAAAAAAAAAAAAAAAAAAAAAAAGGGAAGATCAGTCTACAAAGTTAATATCATTTTGCTAACACTTAACAACCAGCTAAAATACAGCTTTAAAAAAAAATAACAAACAGGGCTAGGGATATAGCGATATAGCTCAGCAGCAGGAGCACCTGTGTGGCATA